GTGTGATACAGAGGTTAGTTTGGAAGCGCACAGCGCGATTCGAACTTACGTGTGCTGGTGGACGCAGAGCCGCTCAAACCTGCGGCGGATAATCCAAGTCCAGAGAATGTTGAATGGATAGATTGTTGTGACCGAGCCAACACGTTTCCAAGTAGCTTTGCGACCTCCAAACGCACTGCGTAATTAGATCCGTCCATACATCGGAAACACAAACTGACAGTAGCCTCCAACTCGTTGGCATGTATCGGAGCATAATGATTAGCCAGTTCGTTCATACACTGGAACAGGGAGCAGCAAGGAACAGAATAAGCATGAGAAGAAATCCAGAGTCTCCTCCGTCTACCAAGGGGTGGAAAGACATTTTCACCATTTCCCAAAATGCAGATGTGTATTGTAGCCTATCAGCCAGCTGGTCGGTCGGCAGTTTCATACGTCCGACTAGATCTTTAGATAGACAGTTTACGATGAGTATTGAAGCACTTCAGTTTTTGAATTAGACACAGCGTAATCGGATCCTGTGAGAAGTCCGAAATCTCAGTTACAAACCAGCTACGTACTGACCAATCGTGTTAGCACACTTAAAATGAAGGGCCATGCGCTTCGTCAAAGGAGAAAAACACCAAACAGGCTGACGAAAACCACAATGGGTGAAGAAGTCAGAAGCCGACTGTGTGTATGGTATCAAATGAAGGCCATGAGTAACGGGACATCTATGTGACGAATGTCTATCAGTTTAGTTTAAGCCCGAGAGATGTATCCTCGCAGTAGTGAATGTGTGTACATTGGAGTGGTTCACCTAAGTGAACCTAAGCGCAGAATTCCCTAGGAATCTGACTTTCTGTGAACATTCGGATCCACCACCCGCAACAAGGTCAAAAATAATCCAGAAAATTTCAACCGTTTGGGGCGCCGCTTAATCAGGGAGTCATGAGCGGTTAACCTACTTCGGCACATGTGCTGCGCACTAACCAAGTGATAAGTCAGGTAAATTCGGCATATGAATG